ACATATTTATACAAGTGAGATTTTCACGAATTAAATCCGGCTTAATAAAATCACATAGCTGTTGATTGTAGCAAAGATAATCGGGTAGAAGCAACTCATTAATTTTCTGTCTTGAATAAGGCTCTTCATAAAAAAAACGAATATGACCAGAATGAACTGGTATAGCTGGGAACTGGAAAAACGAATCACATTGTTTAAGGCACTCGTAAATTGTGTCGTTCATCAGCCATGTTTTACATGAACTTCCATGAATTTGGTCGGCGAGTCCACTGAGACAAACCATAGCAATCCAACATTCGTCTGTTAGATTACCTTTGGCTGTCATCGACTCTATCAGTAACATGTGTCGTCCATTATTGCATTCTTCAAATTTGTTGACACATAGGCCATCTCCACAGGAAAATGTACCCTCATGTGCTCTGCAAGAATGTTCTTCACAACGGAATGTTGGATCTTGGAAACATGATCTTATATACAAGGCATTCGACACTTCATCGGAACGATCGAGGCAGTCTGCATCGCCTTCACCCTCTTCCCAGAGTTCGCTTAATATACATAATCCATTGTGGCATCGATATTCATTTTTCTCACATTCATTTATTTCCATATCGAAACAATATTCTTCATCGAGACCTTCATCAAAACAATCAACGATTCCGTTACACACTTCACGCCAATCAAGACACCAACTCTGCCCATTACGATGGCATTCTAGAAGAACATAGCATGGCATCTGTACTGTCACTTCAGATGACTCGGAAAATGCTGTCCTTTGACGAAAAGCTTCTTCAACAATTTGGTTGAAAGATCTACGGCCGCCGAAAGGAAACGAATATTGGCATCGAGGGCCAAACCACGGTTCAGAACAATTGTAGAGATTCTCATTAAATGCAGCATTCGGTTCAATTAGATAGAATTGATATCGCTGAGCTACATCAATCGAAATTGACCACGAGAGAAGTTGTTCTGAAGTAGTATGAGCCAGACGTAATTCTTCGAAACTTAGTTTTTGAGAAAGCGGATGAACAGAGGTTTCGGATGATTCTTCGAAATAGTTTACTGGGCGAAAACAGTACGGAATGACTTCATCAACCATATCTAATAATTTAGAATAAGCTGGTTTTTCACGATGAACATGATAATTCAAACAATGATATTGTAGCGAATTGCTATTAATTGCTTCATTAGTATGGTATAAATTCAATTGACAAGTAGTAGTTGTCCATTGAATTAAAATTATTAGAAGAAGCTGAAAAATTATTTTACCTTTGTTTAATGAACTTGTGTCCATTATCGATCGTTTTTATTTTTATCTTCACTGATTGTAAGAGTATAGACTGTTTATAGTCCAGAGAAACAAAAAGTTATATATTTTTAGTGAGAGGAGTTTTTTTTGCTGCTGTGATGTGAATGTAAGTGAAGAATTACTATCATCGATAAACTTGTCTAGTAGTAATAAAAAATGTTAAAAAGAGAATAAAACCATGTTCAAACAACTAATAAACGTGTTACAATGATAAGTTAGTTTCATGATAGTATATGGTTATACATCCTGTAGAAAAAAATCATCATCAATTTAGTAATACTCTCTGTATTGACAATTCATGCTTTATTTCTAATTTGTGGAATAATGATCATATAACCATAATATAGAGTCTGTCAAACAAGGAAAACTATACTCTTTCTTGATACCAGACGATATATCAACATAAAATGTAATCTGATCTGTTATGTTACTGTCGTTCCTACAATAAACCACTGAGAATCTCAGAGTGAGTTTTGGGTGTGGGTGTGGGTGTGGGTGTGAGTTTGAATGTGGATGTGGGTGAGGATTTGAGCGGGTATTGGGTGGGTGTGGGTGTTTTACTCGTCTTTTATCCACAGTCATATCCGTACCCTCACCGTCAAGCAGATGGCCGAGAGTAAACGACTGTGCTCTGCATTTTACATTTTAATCTCTGAAAATGTTTTATTAGAAAACAAAATAAACCACAAGAGTCAAAGTGAAAAGCTCTACTAACCTCGTCGTAAAGCTTATTTTAGTTGTGTACCTTTGTTTTTCAAAAAAATCAAAAATGCGTGCGATCAATTGTGGAGGTAAGTTGTGATAGAATCTGTTTTCTAATAAAATGTTTCCAGAGATTGGAATATGAGATACGAAGTGCGGTGATTTACTCTGACTTACCCGTTACTTTCTATGGAAAAAGAATCGTCGCGAAAGGGTTAACTTGAGTAGTTATTGTGTAAAACTAGTTCGATATTAATGTCTATCGGCAATATTGTTTTGTTACTTATTATACTCTTTACTAAGCCCATATTTGTCATTTTTCTCAATTTTATACATTCAAATCTATTAAAGAAACTTTCAATGGGTCATGCATTTCATTTTACATATTGCTTACACTAACGAACAGATAACTCATGCACAATGCCAAACATCTAGAGTAGATATAAAATGTGGTTTCAACAGCAAACTTCACTACTTTATCGGTTCTATGTCGGTAAGGTAGATAATTTTAATATCGAGGTTCACCGAACCAGATAAATCGAAAA